AGGGAGAAAAAATATCAGGAACGTTTGAAATGAAAGAAAAAGTATACAGGAGATTGATCAACATACTAGGTCATTGTTGCACTTCTCCAAATCAAGAGCCTTTATAGCGACAGTCTCCTTTAGTGGAATGCACAGTGCCTTGTACACAGTGGCACTGACGCCTTCACCAACTTCTTCATGCAAGTTATAATCCTTGGCATTCACTGGATATCTTTTTTCTGAAGGAATCTCCATATTTTTCCTTTTACATTACAGAAGTAAAATTTTTTTGCCCAAAGATGTCCCAACTGATGTAAAACTAAATAAAATATGTTCCAAAGAAATAATCTTCAAACCCATGTAAGGAATCTTCCATTTTGATAGCATTTTTCTCAGATCAGAAGGACACTGTAAATAAGTTGTAACTGCATCAAGACAAATGGAAAATGAGCATATCCAATGAACTCCAAAAATTTGATATCAATAAGCAAGCCATCTCTTTAGCCTCGAGCATGTAAAATTCTAAGACCATCTACCAGCAAACAACCAACAAAGCTCCCAAGACCACTGAAAAAAATTCTGCACATACAAACAGGATGAATAGTTAGACATTATAAAGGGAAAAGGAACAAGTTCAATAACAAACTCAGAAGGAAAAGAAAGGCAGAAAATTCAACAAAGCTTCCAACACAAACTCCTAAACTTCCATCCTTCTTGGAAACCCACCCAGTTCCACCCTTCCTGGTATGTTTGCCTGCTTATGAAGATTCCCTAATTTTACATTCACTACCCCCTGCAAAATTCACTACACGCCCTCCAATGGCATCCATCTCACCTGGAAAGTGGAAACCTCAACTTCATTCAAACCTTTGGTAGTATATTGCGTTGCTAAATTCTCGCTTAAGCTGAAAGTCAAACCCTAATTATAGCATTGATCATCATAACTAAGCCCAAATCGTACAGCTCAAGTGTAATTTCTTTCTTACATCGTAAAGCCCAAAGATCCAAGACCAAAATGCCCAATCCCAACAAGTTTCTCTGATTTCACTAACAACCCTATCCCTCCTTTTATATTCTTCCATTGTTAACTGAAGGTGTTAAAGAATGCTTTTTCTAATTCTCCATCCGCCACCGACCAAAGAAGACAAAATTTGTGCTGATCTTCGGCCCAAATCTCTGGGATCAAAATACTTTCTAGCGAATCTTAATCATCAAATACTTGTCCAAATAATTCTCATTGGTTGATAGGCCACTTTCCACATCTCTTCATTAGCAAAGTTAGACAAAATGAGAATTGGCCTCTTCCCCCAAATAGGCTTTTTTTCGACTTCAGTCAATCAGAGATCTGATTTCGGTTCGCAACTAAAGCCTGTTCGTTTCTTCTATCAAAATGAAATGGCAAGAACTCATTTTGGGAAAAAACCCCTTTTCATTCATTTCATATTAATTACAATGGGCAGGGAAAAAAAGGAGAAAAACGCTTAATCCTTCTTGGTTATTTCATGAAAGAGACAAGAAGCAGACTTAGACATGAACTAACTACTCCGACACGCTCTCCTAAAATCACGCTACAAGAATTAAGATGCTAATCTAAAAAACAAAACTGTGTTTACTTATTTCGGCCATGGCCCCTACCCAAACCTAGCTTTTCAAAATAACTAACTAGTAAATACATACTACCGGTAGCACAACAATAGAAATGAATAAAATTTCGACAAAGACTACACTTCCAATTTCCAAATCTTCAAACCACAAATTTACACAAAAAAACCCAATTCCCCAATCCAAAAATCACATTTAAATGCCACAACTCAACGAATTTCAACTTCAATTAACAACCAACATAATTCAAACTCCACGATGCACAATTAACACTACACAGCAACAAGCGCTATAATTCCTTTAGTGCAAAGTACAAACAAACACATATTACGCAAGAAAAGCAGCTAAAACGAACAAAAAACAAACTCAACAACAGGTCGGAATAAACAGATGAAGATTACAATCAGATGAGGATAGAATACCACAGAAATTGACTTTCCGACAATGTCAAACGTACCTAGGGTTAGGCCAGGAAGCTAAAATCGAACTCCAAACGAAAATAGATGTAGAAGAAGCACACAGAAAAGTGAATCGAGATGGATTTCAGGTTGCAGTCCAAATGGAGATTGACGATGAAGGTTCAGATTTGGGCTTTCCAGTAACAAATTTCATTTTCTTTTTTTATTTTTTTCTCTGCATCCAACTAATTATCCAGCCCGAGTTCCCGTGATCGAATCTCTCGCCGTCGCCGCTATTAGAAAAAAAAAATAATAAATAATTATTTCTGGAATTTAATAATAATTCCAGAAAATATGAATGGAGGCGACTTTGATTTGATGCAAATGAATTGGGTTTTTAAGAGAAAGAAGAGATATGAAATAAATGAAGTAATTAAATAAAAACAACAATAATCGAGCTGGGAAGGTAGGGCCCCAGGGGCAAAGCGCTTCTGAATTCAGCGGTTGAAAATATCGGCACTCGGTTTTCCAGATCGGCGAGTTTTTGGACACTCACATGTTTATAGAATATTTTTCTTTTTTTAAAGAAATTACTTAAACTTGCTTTCTATGGACCATGAGTCTAAACTTGTAAGTTGGTTTTTGGTTCAATGAGCTTAAAAATGGAAGGTTGCTAAAGTGGGTATCATTTTATTAATCTTTTAACTCATTCCATACGTTACAATTTAATTAAACTTCTAGAAACGTATACTGAACCGTTTATGCGCAATAATTAAAAAGTTAAATTTCTTATCTTTAATCAATAAATTATAATACAATGAACATCTATGACTAAATCTGTGTGCCTCGACATTCCCCTACAATATGGTCATATTACTTATTCCTCACTTCTTAAAAAAGTGAAGAGCACGATTAACTATAAAGTTTTTATAATTGAACCCTCGAAAAGAAAAATGCACCTTATTGGTATAATTAGTAATTTTCATTTTCTTTAAATCCTTCTTAAAAATTGTATCATCATCTCGTTTATATATAGTTTTGATTTGTTTATGTATTCCTCCTTTACGCATTTATAGTTAAGTATGGTTTGTTTACATATTATACCCAGATGTAGAGTTACATATGAATGTCACGATGTTCAGCATTTATTTAATTGATATTCTATCGATATAAATTTTTAAAAATTTAATAACATATGTAAACTATAATTCGCATTGGAAAGCTTATTTAGGTGGGTGGGTTTTTTTTCTTTGTTTGATAGAAAAGATTGAAAAGGAGGAGAATGGCAAAATAATATATATATATATATATATATATATATATATATAATTAATAATAATCGGGTGGGAAACTTTGGTATTTATTTAATTATTATATAGAAACCTAAAATTATATTAAATTTCAACATTAATTTAAAAAAAATATATGTTGAATTAGACCTCGTGAAGTGAGTTGTGAAAGGAGAGTTTTTTAAGAGATTTAAATCTATAATATTTTATGAGGAGTAATATTTCGTGAGAAATTATATTTAGGTTACATATCTTATTAATATTAAACTGATTGATAATTTTTATTTATTTATTACATACCTACGTAATTAATAATTTTTAAATTTTAATATTTATTTAATTATTAACTGTAACTAATATTTTGACATATGTCAAGTTGAAAATAATTTATAATTCAAATAACTTCTTTAAAAAGTACAACGATGCTTTCCTCTATGAAAGATGCTTCCAAAATGAAAGGATTCTCTAACTTTATAATATTTCTCTTTTATAATCTCATAATTATTCTATTTTATTTTATTTTTTATATTTAATTTTGGTCGACTTTTCCCGAGTTAAGCCTGATTTAGTCAAAATATTCATATTTATTGTTAATTAACCTACATTCATTTTTTAAATATTGATTTGCATATCTATATCCGTCACATCTATTTTTCTCATTTTTTATTACTTTAATCTAGAAGTTCTCGATTTCTATTTTCAAAATATGCATGGTAACTTTATTCAATAAATTTCATTTAATCTGTATTTATTTTTTATTGTTGGTTTATTTAATATAATTATCAAATTAGCCTTCTCTTTAATTCATAATTACAATAATAGAATGCTAACTCTCTCCCCCTTCTTTAACTAAATTAATATTATTATCGTCATATAAATAAATATATGAATGATTAATCATACTTTAAAAAAATAAAAACACTTCTAACTTTTCATTATTAGACATAAAATAAGGGTTTTCGATAAATTGGTGGGTCGATAAATCCAATTATTATAATATCATTGAAAAATAATTAGCAAATAATTTATATTAAGTTGTTATATAATTAGCTCTCTTATGTTATGGGTCAAACACACGTTTTTTTTTATTTTTTTTAGTTATTTTAAAATAAAATTATGAATTTAGTCGCTAATTGGACAAATAAATACAATTTTGTTATTAGTCTTATAACCATAAGTTAAAATTAATTAAGAAAATAATAACATAATTTTAATATATAGTATAATGGAGTTAGAAATACTAAATATTTACGTCGAAATAAAATAAATTAAAAAAATGACATTCGATGTTAAGGATAAAGTAGATTATTGAATATAGTAGCATACCATAATTATTAATTAGATGCATAAAGATATTAATTTTTTTAAAGTTTAGTAAATAAAGTGACCTGAGGGGACAATGTAGAAATAACGTAAAATTGAAGGGCAAATTTGCAATTAAAATAGCTCAACATCTACGCCGCACAATATTGATTAATAATATATTGGGTCTTAATCCATCCATTTTATTTTCCAATCCGTTATTTTCAATCTAATAATAATTAAAATACATTACGACTTATAATCCATCAAGACTTTTGTTTTTTCTTTGAAAACTAATTATCGCCTTCGGAAGAAATTTCTGGTGTGCCTGAATTTTTTTTTTTTTTTTTTTTTAATGTCGTTTTCAATCTTCAACAACCTTCGCTTCTATAAATGTGAAGAAGCCGCTTTAACTCCTTCAATGTCTGCCATGGAAGCAGAAGAGACAGAGGAAGAAGGATCGCCTCAATTCATGAAGAAACTATCTCCTAATTCAACTATGCAAGAAGATGAAGGTTTGGATCTCTGTCCTAGCTTCAACAGTTACTCTGTCAACGGACTTGCAGAATCCGCCGCGAGAGTTGCCATGGATTTCGAAGGAATGGTCGGCGATGGCGGTGAGGACGATGATTTTGAGTTCGTTTCGTTTCAGAAGGCTGAGGAACAAATGATTTTCGATTGTCCGATTAGTCCTGTTTTTCCTATTTTCAATCACCATCTGTTGGAGATGAGCGATGGAACAGAGGCTAATGAGTTGAACCACGGAAATGCTCCAATTGCGAAGTTTTCTCTACAGAAGCTTATAAACGATGATAGAGAGCATGAGCGTGAACTCGATCGTGATCTTGCGTGTTCGTCTTCGACGTCTGAGGCCGATGAATTGGACATGATTCCACCGGGAACGTACTGCGTTTGGACGCCTAAGTCAATGGAAGCGGCGGAGCGAGGAAAATGCCAGAAGAGCAAGTCCACTAGATCAGGATCAGGATCAGGATCAGGATCCTCGTCTTCAAGACGGTGGTGGCTTCAAAATTTGCTTCGACGAAGCAACAGCGAAGGAGGAAAGAATCGACTGGTCTTCTTAACACCGTCCGCGAAATCGGAATCGACGACGAAGAAAGAAGAGAAAACTGAGAAATTAAACGAAGAAGCAAATCGAAAGAAGAGCTGTCCAGAGGCCAACGCGGTCGCCGGAAAATCGAAGGTCAAAAGAGGCGTGGTCGAGAAGACATCATCGGCGCACGAATTGTTTTACATTCGAAACAGAATGTTGAAGGAAGGAGATAAGAGACGATCGTACCTTCCGTACCGGCAAGACCTCGTCGGATTCTGGGCAAATGTCCATAGCGTGAGCAAAGCGTTACCTCCATTCTAATCCTCTCAACAGGTTCTGCTAATAATGGATGGATTAGATTAATTATTTAGTTAATTTTCATAATCCTTATGATTAAGATTTATCATCCATGAGTTTTGATCTTTAAACGCATGCACGATCGAATCGTTTCACTGTATATATAGTATATCTATATAGTTCCCGTTTGTTCTATAATCGGGTGATTTATCTTCAACTTTATTTGTAATTAAAAATCAATAAATATATTCAAATTATATGTACTTTTAAGACATTGCTTTATTCGTTAAAATAATTAGATTTTGATAATTTGTTATTAAAGAAATTAGGCTGGAATTTAGATGTTTTTCATCGAATGGCACGTGTGACAGTCTTTTCAAATAATTTTTTTTCTTTAAAATGGGTCGAAATGGATAAGGTTGAAGGTATGACGTGGCAGCAAAGGTGAGAGATTAGGATATTGGGGGAAATGGGTGGGGGAGAACAAGAAGGGCACGAGAAAGGTGGATTGATGTGATGCCATAATCTCTTCCAAAGATACACCTAATATCCTTAAAACACTAAAATAGTTATTACGAAAACTAAACTCATTTAGGTCTAACGTTATACAAGAGCATGTATATTTTAGCTAATTGAACTATATTCAAATTGATTCAACCATAAACTTATTATTAAGAGTCGGAAAATGAAAGAGGGACTACTTACAAAAAGTATATTAATATTGATTAATGTAATGTACAAAAATACAAACAATGTCCAACTATTTTTGGCTCAAGATTCGTCAGGCTTTGGCTCCAGAATTACAGGAATTTTCTCCATGTGATCACCACGTAGCACCTCCACAATCACCTGAGCAAAATTGGTTACCAATCAAACTTCCATGAAAACATGTCACAAAATTTGAATACTTCTTAAGAATTCAAGTTCATCAATGGTTTATGCTACTGGGATCATTCTCTTTGCAGTCCAGGAGTCTTTTATTTGGTTATACTACATTTTTCAGGTGAAAATCCGTTTCTAATTCTTGGAACGGTATCGTATACATGACTTTTTATACAAAGTTTAGGGACTAAATCAAAGTGGTTAAAATAATTTTTCTTGAAAATTATGAGACCAAATGGTTTTGTATTGTCACTAAAAGCCCACATGGGGATCATGAGGCAACATATCCTAAGGTAGTTGGCTTCATCACATGGGGTCTTGCTGTCTTTTTCAGAACCCAGAGTTTTGGAGAAATTTCATTAATATTCTCTCTAAGTCATTCTAGACATCTCCCTAGTTCTTTTGGATTGGAATTTGTTCATGTAGGTTGTTTGGGGACTCTTATGGTGGGCGTTTCTTTTTGGCATGCCCTTATATATATTCAAGGGGTGAATTGTGAGATCCCACGGGTTGGAGAGGAGAACAAAACAGAGTGTGGAAACCTCTCTCTAGTATATGCGTTTTAAAATTTTGAGGGGAACCCGAGAGGCAAATTCCAAAGAGGACAATATTTGCTAGCGGTGGACTTGGTTGTCACAAATGCCTTAAGCTAAGAGTTTCAACAAGCTAAAGAAAAAAAATGAAACAGGAAAGTTCAGATTACCTTCTCACCAACTTTACACTGGTCAAGAATTCTGTACAAATCGCTTCCATTAGTGACCTTCTTCCCATTCACCGACGTTATTATGTCTCCCAATATCAGTCTACCATAAGCATCCCTCTTAGTCGGTAGCAGGCCCTGCATAATGTGAAGTGATCAAATCTTCTTGAACTTAAGTAATGAGGTTGGAGGTCTTTTAAAGTTCTTGGAACTATAAAGGAACAATGAAACGCTATAGGTATTAGAATAGAAATGCAGAGAGAAAAAGAGAGGAAACTAATACAGCTTTCCCAGCAGGACCATTTGCAGGAGCATCCAAAACAAGCACTCCGCTTACGCCCAACTGTTCGACAGACTGATCGGGAGCAAACTTGATTCCTAATATCGGTCTTGTCACCTTCCCATATCGCACCAACTGATCAACAATGCCGCTCACCTACATTGACAGAATGTTGATGAATACTTCTTCAAATCAAGGGAACTTCAGCAGCTTGTAAGATATGTCATATGTGTACTAACAGTGTCAACTGGGATTGAAAATCCAACACCTGAGGATGCCCCAGATGGAGAATATATTGCTGTGTTTATTCCGATGAGGTTTCCCGAGCTATCGAGAAGCGGGCCTCCACTGTTTCCTGGATTAATGGCTGCATCTGTCTGAATTACATCTTGAATGGGCCTACCAGTAGCAGCAGAACTAATTTCTCTGCGAAGGCCACTGTCAAGAGCAAGATGAATGCTTAGTATATGATATATTAATATAGTGTATGGTCAAATCTGTGGGGTCTCATACCTTATTACCCCAGTCGTAAGAGTATGATCAAGTCCGAACTGCATCGACAATAATGTTTATATTTTAGGACATCAAGTGGGGAAATGTACAAGACAATAAAGAAGCTACCCTGATGAGACTGGCTTTAGAGCCAATGGAAAAAATGATGATCTAAACCGGAGTTCTAATGATGATCTAAACCGGAGTTCTTTTTCTAATACAAAAATTTGTATATTTTTATATGTGAAGCCCAAGACCTGGGATGCCAAAATCTTTGCTTTGAGTTGGGGTGCTCTTTTCACTAATGTAAGATCCCACGTTGGTTGGAGAGGGGAACGAAACGTTCATTATAAGGGTGTGGAAACCTCTCCCTAGCAGACGCATTTTAAAATTTTTAGAGGAAGCTCATAAGGGAAAGCTCAAAGAGGACAATACATGCTAGCGGTGGGCTTAAGCTGTTACAAATGGTATCAGGGCCAGGCACCGAGTAGTGTGCTAGTGGGGATGCTAGGCCCCAAGGGAGGTGGATTATGAGATCCCACATTGGTTGGAGAGGAGAACGAAACATTCCTTATCAGGGTGTGAAAACCTCTCCTTAACAGACACGTTTTAAAACCTTGTGGGGAAGCCCAGAAGGGAAAGTCCAAGAGGACAATATCGGCTAGCGGTGGGCTTGGACTATTACAAATGGTATCCGAGCCTGGCACCGAGTAGTGTGCCAGCGGGGACACTGGGCCCCCAAGGGGGGTGGATTGTGAGATCCAACATTGGTTGGAGAGGGGAACAAAGCATTCCTTATAATGGTGTGGAAACTTTTCCCTAGCAGACGTATTTTAAAACCTTGAGAGTAAGCCCGGAAGGGAAAGTTCAAAGAGAACAATATCTGCTAACGATGAGCTTGTTACAACTAATTTCTTAGATTACACCATTACATATACACAAGTAACAGAGGAGCGTTGTGTAATTACCAACAGTAAAAAAAATTTAGAATCTTGTTAATAGTGAACACTCTTTGCAGAAAATGCTTCATCAGTAGCCTGAACTTCTATATATTAGATGTATGAACATGACAATGGGCACCATAAACCCAATGGCTAAGGCAGTGAATAGAAAAACTCACAGGGTTTCCAATAGCAAACACTTTCTGACCAACAAGCAAATCTGCTGAGATACCAACAGGTATAGGTCTTAGTTTGTCTTTTGGTGCATCGATACGCAAGACAGCAACATCCTTGTCTTGGTCGAATCCAACAACTTTGGCATCGAAAGTAGTTTGGTCAGCTAGAGTGACTCTGTACAAAACTAAAACCAGTTTAAATGTGAATAATGAGGTGCCACACTAAGTCTCAAGTCTAAATTCAAATACAAAACTTTAACTCATTACAAATAATAAAAGAACTTGATGCTATTCTTTTCATGTTCCTGAGGCAAAAAGAGCTATATAATATACATTTCAAAGACATTACTCACAATACATAACCACGAAAACAAAATCAAATAGCCAAACAATACGACACAGTTATGCCGAATGTGGCTGCACATGTGAGATCCCACATTGGTTGGAGAGAGGAAACCTCTCCCTGATGGACGCGTTTTAAAACCTTGAGGAAAAGCCCGGAAGAGAATGCCCAAAGAGGACAATATTTGCTAGCGAAGGGCTTGGGCTGTTACAAATGGTGTCAAAGCTAGACACCAGGTGGTGTGCCAGAGAGGACATTGGGCCCCAAGGGGGGTGGATCGTGAGATCCCACATCGGTTGGAGAAAGGGTGGAAACCTCTCCCTAGTGAACGCGTATTAAAACCTTGAGGGAAAGCTCGGAAGGGAAAGCCCAAAGAGAACAATATCTGCTAGCGGTGGACTTGTGCTATTACAAATGGTATCAGAGCCAGACACTGGGTGGTGTGTCAGCGAGGACGCTGGGCCCCAAGAGGGGTGGATTGTGAGATCCTACATCGGTTGGAGAGGTGAAACTTCTATCTGGTGGACGCATTTTAAAACCTTGAGGAAAAGCTTGGAAGGGGAAGCCCAAAGAGGACAATATTTCTTAGCGAAGGGTTTGGGTTGTTACAAATGGTATCAAAGCTAGACACTAGGTGGTGTGCCAGCGAGGATGTTGGGCCCCCAAGGAGGGTGGATCATGAGATCCCACATTGGTTGGAGAGAGAAACGAAACATTCCTTATAAGGGTGTGGAAACCTCTCCCTAGTGAACGCATTTTAAAACCTCGAGGGAAAGCCCAAATAGGACAATATTTGCCAGTGATGGACTTGTGCTGTTACAAATGATATTAGAGTCAGACACTGGGTGGTGTGCCTGCGAGGACGTTGGGCCCCCAAGGGGATGGATAGTGAGATCCCACATCAGTTGGAGAGGTGAAGGAAGCATTCATTATAAGAGTGTGGAAACCTTTCCCTAGTGGACGCGTTTTAAAACCTTGAGAAGAAGCTCGGGAGAGAAAGCCCAAAAATGACAATATCTACTAGTGGTGGGCTTGGCTGGGCTGTTACAACACCTTTCTTAAAAATATTAAGGCTAAAAGCATTTTCTGAGGACCATTTGCAACATATTGGTTCTACAATTAAATATTTTGGTGATGCTTCATATCCTATTAATACCGCAGCCTTAAATGGATAAAGCCCCCAAGGTAATGAACACACAAATGAATACCA